GCCCCAACTCAAAAAAAAAAAAAAACCTGCCCAGCGCCTGGCGGGTCTTTAAAGTTGTAACTTGCCTTTTAAAAGGAAATATCTTTAACTGTTATCAACTCCTTTCCTGCCCCAGGTGATTGTCATGAGGCCAACTGCTGGTCCCGAACCAGCTACATGTTTTTGTGTTTATTCACTCAATCATACGAGAAATATATTTGAGCGTTTGCCGCATCCTGCCACATGCCCATGGCCCTTCCAGGGCCCGCCCATGCAGGGCAGGCCTGAGGGCAACACCACTTTCAGCTGGGCCACTTCCTACCCCTCCCCATGGATAACACCCTCCAAGCTGGAAATAATAATAGCAACAACAGCTACTGAGAGCTTGCAAGGGGCCAAGCACTATTCCAAGTCCTTTCGCATGGATCAGTTGATTTCACCTTCAAAACCCAACCCCAGGAGACAGATTCTGTTATTATCCATTTTTACATATGGGTAAACTGAGGCATGGAGCGGTTAGGAAGAGGAGAAAAACTTGTACCTACTGAGTGTATTCTGCATCCCAAGTGCCACACGAACTCACAGCTGAAACGCTAGGCACACTAAGTCATTCAGGTCACACTGCTGTTGGGAGTGGGTCTTCAACCCAGCATGCTCTGATGTCAGAACCTGAGCTCCTTGGTTCTCTACTCTCCTGCTTCCCAGGTGGGGCTCTCTGTCATGGCCAACCCTATGTGTCGAGGAGCTGTGAATAGCCCCGTTGAACAGAGGAGAAGACTGAGGGTCAGAGAGCCTCACGTCACACAACCAATAGTGCACCTGGAAAGCAGGAGGAAGCTGGGGGGTGGGGTCTGAGGAGAAACCCTCGGTTCAGGCCTCTCTCTGCCCTGGAGCAGATGGACACGTGTGTGAATCTGGACTCCAGGCATGTCCGTGAGTGACAGGCGTGAGTGTCAAAGGAACCGGGCCCTCCCTGGAAATTCTGGGATAGTGCCATGGTCCACACTCCGATCTGAGGCTCTCTCTGAGGCTCAGTGTTCTCAGTTGTGAAATGGGCGTAATAGTTCCTACCTCCTGAGCCACATTATGATTCCGAGACTCGCGGTGGTGTTTGCTCCCCTCAGGCCTGGGTGGATCCAGCAGCTGTTCACAGACTTCATCTCCTTCACGCTGAAGCTGGTCCTGAAGGGACAGGTGAGTAAAGCCATCCTCCTGCGGCCCAGGGTCATGCCCGGAGGTTGGATGCTTCCCCTCCCTGCCCTTTCCTGAGGAAGTGCCCCGGGCCGTCTCTCCAACGTGGCCAGTCCCCTGTGCCAGTTCCCGGTGCTGCCCCCCCCCCGCCGCGCCCACTAGCTGGAGGGAGGCCCCACGCCTCCTCTGGCCTCCTTTCCTGCTGATGAGCCTCCTGCCCCGTCCCCCAGATCTGCAAAGAGATCAACCTCATCTCCAACATCATGGCCGACTTTGTCCAGACCAAGGCTGGTGAGTGCATTTCCATCTGCATGCCCAGAAAGCCACCTGCCACAGCTGAGTGACCTTGGGGCACCACCACCCCCTGCCTGGGCCTCATGCCCCCTCTGGCTCTGACACTTGCTAATTAGCTATGGGCAGGCTTTGGCACGTCACTTCTCCTCTGGGCTGCAGCCTCATGAGCAGTGTGATCTTGGGCAAGTTGCTTAAACTCTCTGAACCTCAGTTTCCTCTTGTTAAAATGGGCCTGGATACCACCTACCCCCTGGTGACTGTAGGATTGAGGGGGGGAAAGTATTGTAAAATGCTTAAGACTGCACCTGGCTCATTGTCAGCCATTATGATTATAGCAGTAGCAACCTCACACCCAGCACCAAGCACAGGGTCAACTACATTTCACGCAGTGGGAAACTCTGAATGAGATAGGAGGAGAAAGCAATATGGAGACCAAGAGCTCCCCCACCCTTTCAGCATCTCTGCCCTCCCCTGCAAGGCTGTGCAGTAGAGAAAGAACCACTCAGAACTCTTTTTGTCTGTCCAATGGGGACATCCCTGGGTCGTTGGGAGGAAGCCAAGATACGAGGAGAAGGTAGTGTGAGAACTGGGAAGTACTGTCCTGTCCCAGAAATAATAATAGTAACAGCCATTGTTTGAAGAACCTACTACCTACCAAATAGCTTACTTACATTAGCTATGGAATCCTGATAGTGACCCAGTGAGGCAGGTACCACTAACCCTCATTTTACTGATGAGGAAACAGAAATGTATGGAGATGAGAGCCCCCTCACCCCCAGCTAGGAAGTGGAAGCAGAATTTGAACCTGGGCCCTCTAACGCCTCCCAAGCCCCTGTTCCCAGCAGCTGTGCTCCTTGGCCTGTGGAGGCTGAGGTGGCCAGGCTGAGGGGCATACCTGGCTCCTCATCCTCTGGCACACAGTAGGTGCTCGTGAACAGGGCGATGAGAGACCAGTGAAGCCCCAGGTAAGGAGACCCCCTGGGCTGCTGTGGGGTGTCGGGAGGCCAAGGCAGCACCAGGCCCAGGGCAGGCATCCCAGACTCCTGCTGGAGGGGCTGAACACAGCCCTGTCTTCCTTGGTAGCAAACCCCTCCCCTTCTCTCCACTCCTGTTGCCACATGAACCTGGAACGGAAACCTTGCGTGCCTCTCTGGGGATCCCATGCTGGTAGCCATGCCATCGGTGGGAGTTTGGGTAAAGCTAACAGGAGGGGTGGTCAAGGAAGGCCTCTCTGGACTGGTCCAAGCAGCCACAAGAATTTAGAAGGGGCTGGGCAGTCAGGGGGTTTCACTGAAGCCATGCTGTTGGCTCAGACTTGAGGGAGGAAGCCAGGAGCAAGGCCTGCACGCCCACCTGTGTCCCATCCTGCTCACTGGTTCTGCATCAGGGGCTAGAAACTGAGGCCAGCAGGCCGGACTCGTGCCTGCTTTTGAGGTAAAACCTTATTGGAACAGAGCCCTGCCCACTCGTGTACCTGTTGCCTGCAGTTGCTTTCCAGCTACAACAGCAGAGTAGGCTATTTGCAACAGAGACTGCGTCCCCCACAAAGCCTAAAACACTCACCATCTGGGCCTTTATAGGAAAAGTCTGCTGACCCCTGTTCTGGGCGACAGACTGGTGAAGTCCAGGAGGACTCCATGCTTCTCTCGGAAGAAGATTAGGAGGAAAAATAATTAGACTCTCATGCTGGTGGGCACGCGCCCACTTTAAACAAATGACCCTACTGGAGATGAGGACATGGTTGCTTGGGAGGTCAGGTCCCTGCCCTGTCACCCAGCAGCACAGGGCAGAGCTGGATTTCAGCCCCAACCTCTAACCCCAAGCCTCACACTCTGAACCAGTCTTCTAGAAGGACACCAGTGTGGTAGAGCCACCCAGACAGACGGAAGTCGAGAAAAGAGAGAATGAAAACGAGCTCCCCGCTCCGTGCCCCAGGACCCATTTTACAGATGAGAGCACGGGGGCTGGAGGCTGCGGCGACTGTGAGGGGGCAGGGGAGCTGGTGAGTCAGGGCAGCTCCCCACCCTGAAGCTCCACCTTCATCTTCCCTCCTGCCCCTGCAGCCAACATCCTCTCGGACGGAGACATCGGGGTAGACATTTCCTTGACAGGATCACCCGTCATCACAGCCACCTACTTGGAGTCCCATCACAAGGTGGGAGGGGTGGGAGGGTGAGGCAGGGGTTCGGCTTCTCTGGGTGCTAGGCCCTCGCCTGTGCTCCGGCCACCTGGCCCCCGCTTCAGCCCCACGGTGGCCAAGAGTCCTGTGGCCCAGCCTCCGAAGAGCCTTTCCTGGTGCAAGAGGTGGGCATGGGGTGGCCCACAGTAGTATGCATCCCAGCCCTCTTGGCAGGTGCCAGGGATCCCCACTCCAGGGTTCCCCGCAAAGCACTGGCTCCCTCTAGACAGCATGTTTGGTTTCTGTCATCCTCTATAGCACTGGTTTGGGGGATCTGACGAAAAGCTTTGTAGCCTTCTTTACTTGGGATATTGGTTCTGCCGCTGTAATGAAGAAACTCCAAATAACAACGGCTTCAACCAAGATAGACTTTTTTTCCCTCGCGTGCTGGTCCAAGTGTCTGCAGCCTGGGTGGTCTTGGTGCTCCACGGTGTTAGGCACTGTGTTCTCAGCCATCCCCCAGTGTGGCCCTCCTCTGTGTGGTCCCGGATGGCTGACTTACCCACCACAAGTACTCTGGTCGATCCCAATGGCCCGAACTTGGCCACACGGTCACCTATAGCTACAAGGGAAGCTGAGAAGTGTATTCCAGGCAGCTATGGGCCCAACCAGAAACTGGGTGGTACAGAACTCTGAGAAAGACAGGGAGAATGGATTTAGGGAACAGCCAGTCATCTCTGTGATGGAGCCTCTCCCCAGAAAAAAAAGGGTCATTTCTGAGGTTCATGGACACCCCTGAAGCCCGTTCACAACCCTTGGGCTGGATGACATTGGAGGGACAGGGAACTGGGCAATGGTTTGCCTTCCTGATTTCAGCCTTCAGGGGCTGATGAGCAATCAATTGTCTACCCTCAGAAGGTGCAGGGCTGATGGTTGTCCAGAGCGGGTAGCAAGGGGGTTCACCAGCTGCCCTGGCCGCTGTCACTACTGGGATGTAAACTGTGAGGGGAGGAACCACTTCTGACTGGCTGGTATATTGTGGTTGGGACATAGTAGGCACTCGAGAAGTTTCTGTTGAATAAATGAAACTGGGCACAGCTCTTCCTCAGTTTCCTCATCTGTAGTCTGGGCCGGATGCTTTCCAAGGCTCCTCTGGGTCTCCCTGAACCTGGCTCCTGAGCCCAGCAGGGGTCCAACCAATGTTCTGGCTTCCTCCAGGGTTATTTCATCTATAAGAATGTCTCAGAGGACTTCTCCCTGCCCACCTTCTCGCCCACACTGCTGGGGGACACCCGCATGCTGTACTTCTGGTTCTCCGAGCAAGTCCTTGACTCCCTGGCCAGGGCTGCTTTCCAGGACAGCCGCCTCATGCTCAGTCTGACAGGAGATGAGTTCAAGGTAAGTGGAGTGGGGTTGGGCTGCTGGAGAATCCATGAGTGCATGTGCTAAGTGAGTAGGTGTGTGTAGGAAGGAAGAAGAAAACGCTGGGTGGCAGGCAAAGGAGCCATGGACATCTAAGCTAGAGCAGCAATACTGAAGTTCAGCATTTATCAGGGCCTACTACATGTTAGACGCCAGATGGATGGATGGATGGATGGATGGATGGATGGATAGACAGATGAACAGACAGACAGGTGGAGATTTAGCTTGGCACATAGTAACTTTGCAATAAATGTAAGCTGAAATTAATATCTGTGCTGGCCAGGTGTAGTGGCTCAGGCCTGGGTAATCCCAGCACTTTGGGAGGCTGAGGCAAGAGGATTGCTTGAGGCCAGGAGTTCAAGACCATCCTAGGCAACATAGTGAGACCTCATCCCTACAAAAAATAAAAAATTAGCTAGCCATGGTGGTACACTGTAGACCCAACTATTTGGGAAGCTGAGGAGGAAAGATCGCCTGAGCCCAGAAGGTCAAGGCTGCAGTGAGCCAAGATCTTGTGGGCTTGTAAGATCATAGGGCTTGTAAGAGGTAACCCCAAGACCTGCGTGCTTTACTTTATGCTATACTAGAAATTCTTAAGTGGTGTCCAGTCCATGCCTGTCATTGAACTAGTGGAAACGGAGGCCTATCAAGGAGGAAAGACTTGCCCAAGATCATGGAGCCTGTGTGTGGCAAAGCAGGGAGCAGAAACTAGGTTTCCAGCCACAACAGGGATTCCTTGCACCACACCTTGCCCAGAGCATGTCATCTTGTCTGGGAGCTTGGGAGTTGGGTTTAGGGAGGGGCCCAGTCCCTGACACTACACTCGGTCCCTGCAAAGTTTCTTCCTGAGGATTAACCTTCTCACCTACCCCTTCTCCGTCTCTTCTCAGGAGGTGCTGGAGACCCAGGGTTTCAACACCAAGCAGGAAATCCTCCAGGAGGTAACAGCCCCTGTTTGGGGTCTATCCCATGCACCCCAGTCCTGCTCTGGCTTTAGGAATCCCCATGCAGCCAATAGCAACAGCAATGCCAGCAATTCATGAACAGCTAACATGAAGGTCTTTCCAGGAGTCTGACAAGGAGTGAAACGCTTTGTGCATTATATTCCTTAACAGTGCTCTCAACCACCCTATGTGTGAGGCACTTTTATGACCCCCATTTTACACACAGGGAAACTTAATAAATGGCAGGACTGGGTTTGAACCCAGCCATGTTGCCCCCAAGACTATGCTCCATTGTTCTCCTCTGTCATCCAGTGACCACAGGACCTGGGAGACTGGAACCTCAGGGTCAACCCCAGGCTCAGAGGGCCCCAACCATAGGATGTGAGGACTGACCCCTCCTGATTCTAGCCCAGCCGCAGGCAGTGATACTCATAATTCCATCCCTCCACACAAGGTTCCACTAAGAACCCATAATCACCTCCCTCGAATGGACCCTTGACCTTTCTGAGTAAGCCTCCCTCCCCACCGCTTTCTGGTCAACTCATTCCCCTACCCCCTGTGATGACTTCTCTATCCTTCACTGCAGTCCTCACGTCTCCAGCTGCCCCTTCTGTCTGTCTCTCACCTCCCTCTCCACAAGCAGTCTTGTCCTTGATAGGTGGGTCGTGCCACCAGCAGAACTTCTCCATCCTCTCCTGGCTCCCAGTCCTGCCCACTCACCCATACCTGCACACTCCTGGGGTCCTTCTCCCCTTCTATGAGAGGACTGTCCCTCTTCTCTTCTGAACTCAGACTTACCCAGCTCTGCGAGTGTCTCATTCTCCTTGCAAGGATGCAACTCAGAATCTTAGACATGTCCTTGACCGACTCCCTCTTCCCCCATGCCGACTAATGTCTGTCGCCATCTCCTCCCCAGGCCAAGCTGCCATTACCTCTAGTAGGGACCCATCTACAGCTCCTAGTGGGTCTCCCTGTATCCCAACACCCTTCTACAATTTGTTCCCACAGCAGCCAGAACAATCTAGTCAAGAAGCAAGACTGACCATTTACCTGCCTGTTTAGAACTCATCAGGAATAAAGGTTAAGAGTCATCAATAAGCAAAATTCTCTGATGTGGCCTCCAGGGTCCTGCATTTTCTGGCTCCATCTGCATCTCAATCTAGACCTAGCTCAACTGTTCTGTTTAAGAGTTGATGTCTTTCATCAGCTCTGGAAATTTCTTGGTCACTATCTCTTCGATATTAGTCTCACCCCTATTTTCTCTATTACCTCCTTGCATTTCCATGAGATGTATGTTGGGCCTTCCCATCTTTCCATTTCTTTTACATCTCTATGATAAATTATGGATAGTTTCCTCAAATATCTCTTTCAATTCATTAATTTTTTTTACAGCTGTGTCTTATCTGTTTACTCATCCAGAGTTTTTCATTTTAATATCAATAATTTTTATAGCTAGAAATTTTAAATCTAATTTATATGGAGTCTTGGGTCATTTCAATATGCTTATACTTATTTACCGATTTTTAAATAATAGTTACTTTGTAGTTTCTTCTGGCTTGTTGTGTGACATCAAATTCTCCCTTTATTGTTGTGTTTGCTGGCTCTCTCTCACGGTGCATGGTTTCCTTGTGTAGTCTATCACTTTTGTCTACTTGTAGGCTCATCTTTAGGGCAATTTGGTTTTCCTGTGGACATACTCTGCTCCCTGGATTATCTGCATTCCCTAAGAAAATAGTTTTGCATTTATTTCTGCCAGGGACCCCAGAGGTTACATCATTTATTAGCCTGTGTGTGTTTGTATGTTAGTTCCTTAGCTTAGCAAGCCCTGCGCCATGCTGGCACTATAAATACACACTTCAAGCCTGCATGTGTGTGGCTTAGGTTTTTATTGTGTACTTACCTTCAATCCCCATCCACGGCTCCTGTGGGTCTTTTGGTGCATTAAGTATTTTTGACTTTTTCCCACTGAGGGGAAATGTCTGATTTCCACCTCCATGTCTCACTCCCTTGTCTCCTTAGGCCAGCATGATTGGAACCCGTGTCCAGCTCCTTGTCTTTCTGGGCCATGTTGCTCACAGTTTCAGTTTTCAGTTCCCCCTTTGTCTCTAGTACTTGGGATTGTCCCTTTCTTCCTTTTGGGCTCAGCTATCTATGAAGTGACACCTTTTTTTGTGGCATGTCCATTGGTTTGGAGGTTTTCTGGGGAGGGTCTTTGAGCCCAGGCCCACGGGCTACAAATCAGAGGTCCTCAGGCCACATTCCCAGTCTCCAGCTGCCTGCTCTCTCCTTGTGTTGGCCATGCTTCTTCCACAGGGCTCCTGTCCACACTGCTCCCTCTGCCAGAAGAATTGCCTTCCCCTTTCCTGTTGGATTCCTCCTCACCCTCAGGGAAGGCCTCTCCCACCCTCCTGACCAGGTCAGATCCCGCCTCGAAGGCTCTTGTACCACAGCCTGGCTTATCTCTCCTTCAGAGTAATTCTCAGTTGCAATTCACGTTGAGTTCTAGGATTATCTGGGAAATGTTGGGCTTCCTGAGGGTGGAAGCCCAACTTAGCTCTCTGCTGTATCCCCACCTCCTTCACCTATGACTGAAACATGGTCAGTACACCCTGAATATTGTTAAATATAAGCATCAGCAACACCTCTAGGAGGGTCACCACGCACAGGGACTATTCTATGCTCTTTGCATGGATTACCTCATTTAATCCTCAAAACAACCCTATGAGATTGGAACTATTATTATTCCATCACACAGTTGAAGAAGGTGGGGTACAGAGGCTAAGTGAAGATGTCCTTACGCACCCTGAGAGGCAGCAGGTCAAGGAATGACTTTCTGAGCACACAGACAAGAAGACTGAGGGTCAGAGAGGACAAGAATCTTCATTTGCCAAGTCAAGTGCCAAGTGGGGTAGAAACTAGGGCTCAGGCCTTTGGAGCTCTGCCTGGGGCCTGAGTCACTACCACCCCAGACCGCTTCCTTTATCCCCAGCCCGGGGGACCCCAAGTCAGCTTCGTCCCTCCTGTCTGTGAGGACAGTGGCTGCCGCTGTTCTGATGGGCCCCTGTCCCAGACGTGGGACCCCTGTCCAGATTGGCCCCCATTCCAGCTGTGGGACACCTGTCCAGATGAGCCCCCATCCTGGTCATGGGACCCCTGTCTTTCACAGCTTGTTGGCGGCTTCCCCCTGAGCCAGGCCCAGGTAACCGTTCACTGCCTCAAGATACCCAAGATTTCCTGTCAAGACAAGGGCGTCGTGGTCAGTTCTTCCGTGATGGTGAAATTCCTCTTCCCACGCCCAGGCAGGCAGCATTTCGTGGCTTACACCTTTGAAGAGGTGAGGGGGTGCAGGGGTGGCAGGGAGTGGGAGATCTGGCCCATGGCTGGGCCATCAGGGGCAGGTGCCTGGGGACCTCTGAAACCTCCAGGTTTTTATCACCTCTGTAGGGATTGGTTGTTTCTTGCATGTGACTTCCAATAATCAAAATCATACAGTGAACATTATGAGGGGTTCGCGTGGGGTCTCTGCAGTCTTGGTGATTATTTTCTTTCCTGAGCTGAGTAGTGGGATATGGGTGTTTGTCACATAGGTCCTCAACCCTCTGTCCTCAGCTATTAGTGCCACATGGATTTCCAAATTCAGAATGTTGTGGATTTTGGAAAGGTAGTGTCATGTGTGTGGGTACACTGGTTATGTTGCAAAATACCCCCCACAGAGTCTGGGGTGCCACTCTGTAATCAAACACGTGGGCATTTCTCCCCATGTGAATATTCATATGAAGCAAGATAAATATTATAAATAAGCCAGGCACAGCGGCTCATGTCTGTAATCCCAACACTTTGGGAGGCCAAGACGGGAGGATTGCTTGAGGCCAGGAGTTCAAACCAGCCTAGGCAACAAAGCAAGACCTTGTCTCTACAAAAAATAAAAAAGCTGGGCGTTGTGATATGCACCTGTAGTCCCAGCTACTTGGGAGGCTGAGGCAAAGGGTCACCTGGGCCCAGGAGGGTAAGGCTGCAGTGAGCCGTGAGTGATCGTGCCACTGCACCCTAGCCTAGGAGACAGAGTGAGATCCCGACTCAAAAATACATAAATAAATAAATGTTATAAATAGCTTCCTACTCAATGGTTAAGTTTTGCCAACATACATGAAAAATCGTGCAGTTTTCAGAGCTTGCTTGATTTTGGAATTAAGAGTCAATATTCTTCCCAATGCTCTTTTGTATATTTTCAATATTTCTTAATAAACTAAAAACAAAAGACAAGAGTAATGCAAGCATACCGAGGAAAACAGAAAAGGATGAAGACAAAAACTGCAGCCACCCATAATCCTCTTGCCCAGAGGCTCCCCCATGTGGACACTGGGGTGCATTTTTTTCTTCTGGTGTTTTATTCTTCCTTAGAAACTTTGGATTTTGGAATAATTTTAGATAGACTAAAAGTTGCAAAGCTAGTACGGAGCGTTCCCATGGATCCCTCGCCATTTTCCCTGTTGTTCCCTGTTGATCTCACACAACTAGACTCCATTCGTCACAGCTGAGAGATTCGCGTTGGTATGCTACCGCTAACCAAACCCCAGACTTACCTGGATCTCCTCAGTTTTTCCACTGACATCCTTTTTCTGTTCCAAGATCCAATCCAGAATGATACCTTGTATTTAGCCTTTTTTTTTTTTTTGCTTTGTCCCAGAACTAAGCAAGTATTTAGCCTTAAAAAAAAAAAAAAAATCTCTAGCCGGGCTGGGTGGCTCAGCCTGTAATCCTGCGCCTTTTGGGGGCTGAGGTGAGCAGATGGCCTGAGCCCGCGGGTTCGAGACCCGCCTGGGCAACTCGTCGAGACCTCATCTCTACACTAAATCAGAAAATCAGCCGGGCATGGTAGCACATGCCTGTAATTCCAGCTACTCGGAAGGCTGAGGTGGAAGGATCGCCGGAGCGCAGCGGGTCGAGGCTGCGGTGGCCGGGAGTGGCCGCTGCACTCCAGTCTGGGCGACAGAGTGAGACTCCAACTCAAAAAATTTAAAAAACTCTTTACCTTTTAGCCAGGTGTGGTGGCTCACACCTGTAATCCCAGCACTTTGGGAGGCGGAGGTGAGAGGCTTGCTTGAGCCCAGGAGTTTGAGACCAGCCTAGGCAACTTGACGAAACCATATTTCTAGGAAAAAAAAAAATCAAAAAATTAACTGGCTGTGGTGGTGAGCGCCTGTAGTCTCAACTACTCAGGAGGTTGAGGTGGAGGGACTGCCTGAGCCCAGGAGGCTGAGGCTGCAGTGAGCCATGGTCGTGCCACTGCAGCCAGGGCGACAGAGACCCCACTCAAAAAAAAAAATCTTTAATATTTTATATTACTATATTTACTTAATTCTAGTTATTTAAGAATCTGAGGCCAGGCTCAGTGGCTCAGCCTGTAATCCCAGCACTTTGGGAGGCTGAAGTGAGTGGATTGCCTGAACCCTCGGGTTCAAGACCCACCCGGGCAACTTAGCAAGACCTCGTCTCTACAATAAATCAAAAATTAGCTGGGCGTGGTAGTGCACACCTGTAGTTCTAGCTACTTGGAAGGCTGAGGCTGAAGGATCGCTGAAACCCAGCAGGGCGAGGCTGCAGTGGTCAGGAATGTGCCTCTGCACTCCAGGCTGAGAGGCAGAATAAGACTTCAACTCAAAAAAAAAAAAACCTGAAAAGTTCAGAGTACTTGTTAAAGAAAAAACTGTTCCATGACACTCGCTGAAGTATGGTAAGGAGGACTTTATTCAGGACACTGTGATGGGGTAGGGACCACTGCAGTGGAGTCTTGCAGTGGACGGGGTTGGGGCTGGGGGGGAGATTGGGTTCAATCCCCAACACAGCTTGGGCAAGTAAGAATCTATAGCCCAGGAGCAGGATAGGAGTCAGGGGTAGAAAGTGACCGAGAGGAGGCATCAGGGGTGAGAAGGCGAAACCGACCTAACAAGGTTCCAGCTGAAGACAGGGCAGGGTACTCAGACATCACGTGGGGCTGGGGAACACAAGGACCATGATCAGATGTCAGATATTGAGGGTGGGGTTTTCTTGCCAATCTGACTTAGCAGGGTTCTCACTAAAACTAGATTTTACAAGGGAGCGCACAGATCGTCCTGGGAGAACGTTACAAACCCCTGTTAGGCCTCCCACCCTTCCCAGATTGTTTCATTTCCCCTCCCCCGACCTTCCTAGGAGTCCCCACTTGTTTCTGGCTCCTGGAAACCTCCTTCTTGCTTGGGAGTCTGGCTGTGAACATAAACTTTTTTGGGGAAATCGGTGTTCAAACCAGACGTCTGAACTGGGGTTGAAGAGAGTGCTTCCCGATGATGGGAGTTGTGGCTGGATCTCAACGGGCAGGGAGAGTTCCTGGGAAATATAAGTAGGTCCCGAGGAGGGGACTGCTGGTGTGGTAGGGACAGGGCTTGTTTTGGGGTGGAGGAATTGCTGGTCAGGCCAGGAGGTACATTGCAACCACCTCACTGAGGCTTAAAGACCAGAAGGAGGAAGTAGGAACCACAGAAGCCCTGGGGCTGGGGAAAGGAGATGACACAGCTGGTTCTGGCATAGGACCCTGGGACTGGGGAGGCTTCACATTGAGCCCTGGCTAAAGTGACAGAGAGGGGGAGTCGCCCTCTAGCATCAGCTCCCGGCCACCCCTTCCCTGTGCAGAGGGAGTTCACGAGGTCTAGAACCAACAGGACACTTGTTCAAGATCACACATCACATTCCTACCAGAGCCAATAGCTTCTGTGCCTCCAACACATTCATTGTCAACTGTATCTGTTGATACAGTTGATACACTCTGGGCCAGGCTCATATGATTTCTGATTTCCCAAACTTCTAGTCTAATAGCCAGAGATAGACAATAACTAACTAACTAGCCAAGCAAAATACTATATAACTGCTAACTATGCCCAGTCTTGAAATACATATAGGTGGTGAGAAAGGGTATTTATACAATTTATAACTCCAAATCAAGAGGCTATTTGAACATTACCTAATGTCAAGCATTTTAAAGCACAGATTCCAGGATCCACCCCCAGAGTTCCTGGTTTGGTAGGTCTGGGGTGGGGCCTGAGAATTTGCATTTCCCACAAGTTCCCTCCTGCGTGGTGCTGATGCTACCAGTGAGGGGACCACACCTGGAGTAGCACCAGCATTTTGTCCCTAGGGTGCAGAATGCAGAGCCTCCCACCCACCAGCACAGCAAGCCTCATCTTGCTTTGATGGCAGCTTTGTTTCGGAGGTGGAGAAAGTGAGCAGTGTGGGAGATTCCAGGTTCATGCACATTACTCACCACCCTGGAGGAAGCCACTGGGAATGTGGATAAGTCATAAGCCAGGAGAGGAAGTGCTCAAGTGACTTCCCAGATCCTAACCCCAAAGCCGCAGGTGTTGGGAACTCCCCACAGTTTCCAGAAGACCAGTGGCTAGGTCTGGCCCCAGGCACCCCGTGCCTCCCCAATTGTTCGGTGTAGGGAGGCAGGGGCCCTGGACTTGGAGTGCTGCTCTCTGTTTCGGGGTGACCCCTGGCTCATAGCGAATCTGGTTTCTCTCCCCAGGATATCGCCACTACCATCCAGGCCTCCTATTCTGAGAAAAAGCTCTTCTTAAGCCTCTTGGATTTCCAGTACGTGCTGCAGAGATGGAGGGGCAGTTGGCTCAGCAAATCAGGCCCAGGATTGGGTCTTGGTGGAGAAATATGGTTCCTTCACCCCAGGGCATTTGGGAGATAAGACCTCCACCTAAGTAGAATCTGATTTAAGAGGAAGAGGCACCAAGGTTGGAGAGGGCCTAGTGGGAGGGAGATACTGCCAGAGCAAAGGCCTAGCAGCCAGATTGTCAAATCTCAAGAGAGAGCTCAAAGTTAGGAGACAGAAGTGCTCAGTGTTATTCCTAGATTTCCTTTTCTGGGGGCTTTTCAGGAGGGGCCCAATAGAGGGTCACAGTCTCGTCTTGTTTGATTTCAGAATGACACCAAGGACTGTTTCCAACTCACCTCAGGTAGGTGTGGACTTGGGTGGACTAAGAGAAATAAGCCCTGTAGGACCTCACACCTTCAAAAAAGCAGACAGAAAACCCAAAAGGAAATCAGGCATTGGGATCAAAAGAAATGAGACCCAAAGCTGGTCTGTTCTGTATCTCCCGTGACCCTCTCCCTGTTGTGTCTGTTGGGAGAGCCTTGGTGTTGCAGAAATGGCATCATGGTGCTATGGTTAGGGTGGGGGCAGAAGAGCACTAGCCAAGCAGCCCCTCCCTGAACCTTGATCTCCCCTCTGTGGAATGAGCTAACAGTCTGAGTCCTCCCCAGGGCCCAGGAGGGCTCCCCAGGAGACGCACCATCGGGAGCAGGAAGAGAGGGTGGGTTGGGATGTGTTTCTCCTGGATGGGCATGTGGATGGACCCAGAAGCTGTGTGGCTTCTGCCTGGGGGGTGGCACTTCTGTGCTCCAGGGAGCACTCACCGTGGGCTTCTGATTGGCAGAGTGGCTCCGAGTCTGTGCAGAGTTTCCTGCGGTCGATGGTCACCACGGTGGGCATCCCTGAGGTCGTGTCTCGTAAGTGAGGGCTGGGTTCTTGCTCCCCCTTGAAGGCCCTTCCCAGGCAGCGCTCCAAGTGTTGGTTGTGTGACCACTGGGGGTGGGGGCTGGGGCAGAGCAGGGCAGCAGAATGGCAAGTCCTGTCACCAGGTCAGCCCTGCTGTAGCCCGTCCCCAGAAGCACTTGCCCTCTCTCCTAATTCAAAGCGAAATAAATGTTCATGGAATGTTGGTCCAAAGGGCCCCACCATCTCCCACTGCCCAGGATGCCACGAGTCTTGGGCTGGCTCTGCCTTCCTCTACCCAGGAAAGGCTGACTGGGCTCCCTCCTTGCCCCAGGGCTCCAGGTGGCATTTACAGCCCTCATGAACAGCAAAGGCCTGAATCTCTTCGAAATCATCAACCCTGAGATTATCACTCGGGATGTGAGTATGAAGCCCCCCACCGGCTTGCCTCCTGGGAAGGAGGCCCTGGCAGCCTTCTCAGGGTGGCTGGGGGCTGTCAGGGAGACAGGCAGAGGGGCTCCCCCAGCTGGCTCCTGGGGGCCGGGAGTCTGCCCAGCCTGCGCCTCCCTCCTCCTGCCTTCTTCCAGGGTTTCCTGATGCTGCAGATGGACTTTGGCTTCCCTGAGCACCTGCTAGTGGATTTCCTCCAGGGCTTGAGCTAGAAAGCACCGAGAAGGGGGGACAGAGCTGAACCAGAAGGCGCGCACCAGGCTCACAGCGGAACCTGGCCTCTCCCCCCTCGGGTGGGGGTCAGGGTGGGGACAGGGAGATGGAGACAGAACCCCCAACTCCTGCCCATGCTAAAAGCCTCTTGGCATTAAAAGGCTGAATCCGGAGTTGGGTGGTCTTTCTTCTCTGCCTGGGGTTATGAGGAGCAGGGGGGACATAGCTCACCAGCCCTGCCCCTTGCTGGCCAAATCTGACAAGCACAGTCCTGCCAACCCACCTCCTTCAGCCCTTCCAAGGTAGCCATTCCCAAACCCTCCAAGCTCCCCAGTGCCTGGAGGAAGAAATCCCAACTTCTCTCCTGGGGGACTCAGGTTCCCCTGTCGGTCCCTGGGTACCTCCCAACTCATCTCCTAACCCCACCATTCTCTCGGTCTGACTGGCTTCCTACGCAAGACGTCACTCTGTCTCATGCAGCTCCTGTGCTGGACAAGAAGTGGGGCGGGATGGACGCTTCAGATCCCTAGGATGGTGGGAGCACGAGGGACCCTTCCAGGGTCTGGTTTCTGGTAGATGTGGAGGCGGACGGAGACTCTAAAAAGTCAAAACAGACTTTGGTATAGAAGAGAAGCCTCACACAAACACATTTCTAGATCACCACAGTAGGCTCGAATTGCATCTTCTTCCCACCCTAAGGCTTCAATAGAAACCAGCTGTGTCTTGGCGGGATCAGGCACTGTCTTCTCCAGGTGTGTAGAGAAAATCCCTCCCCTCACCTTGCCGGAGTGGGATGGGGGAAGGAAGCACAGCAAGATACTGGCATGTGCAAAGTCCCTGCGGTAGAAAGAATGAGGGCAGATTCAAGAAATGTGAAGGGAGCCAGCGTACCACAGAGAGCCGAGAGTGAGAGACGAGGCTGGACTAGCAGGCGAGGCCCATGCATCCTTTATTCTAACCAGGAGAGATGGCCAGGAGGCAGGGACTGGGGCAGAGCTCGGCAGTGAGGTGCCACTGACGGTTTGGGAAGATTTGAGGGGAGGGCACATCCCCTGGCCCCTCCATGTGCTTTAGTAGACCTGTTTCTCTTCCTCCTCTGGGGCTGATACTAGGGGCTCACTCACTAAGCTGACCAGGAGCACTCATGGAGGGGATGGGCAGCTCGCCATGGGTCCTGGCAGAAAGAGTCCTACTGGGAGCTCCAGGCCTTGGGACGTTAGCCTTCAGGGTGGTGGCACCAGTTAGGACACCTCACCCAAGAGTGATCCTTCGAGGGGGCTGGGAAGGCCCAAGGCCTTCCCTTGATGCCACAGTGACAAAATCAGGATAACACGGCAGCCCTGAACATCACAAAGGGCAGGTGGAGAAGTCACTGGGGGTCTTACCCGTGTACTCTCAGGCCAGAAGACCCTGGCACGCGTTGCTGCTCTAGAAAAGGAGGGTAGGTGCGTCCTCCCAGCTTCCTACACCGTCCTTGAAGAGTGTCTCCCCAGGTCTGAGTTGGGAGGGCACTTACATGTCACTACCATGAAATGAGTGCATTTAGCAGAAAGAGATACCAAATACCAAAAGGCAAGAGCTTACCAAATCAGACTGACCTGCCGCCTCCCCTCCGTCCTGGCCCTTCCATCCCTGTGACCTAGGCCTGCCTTGAAAGACCAGGCAGCCCTCCTGGCTTGTGTATGTGTGTGTGTTGGGAGGGACCTGGCCCCAGCCCAGTCAAACTCTGTTCCCAGGAGGAGGCTGCAGCTGCTGCTTCCTCTAGGGAGAAAACAAGGGTTCCCCTAGGCCTGACCCTGCAGAAGCACATCCTGTCACCAGACTTCTGACCCTGGGCAGGATGGGGCCCGGGTGTGTAGGACCAGACCTTGGCAAAGGGGTAGTGTCGGGGGAAGGCCTAGCCTTCAGACCTGGATTCAAATCCCAGTCCCCCCGCCCCCACTGCCCCAGATACTAGTTCTGCCACCCTGGGTCCCTCTGTGCTTCTATTTCCTCATCTGTTAAATGGGACAAGAATAATAAACCCGTTCCATGGCGGGTTCTGGAAAGACTGGGTTAGCCTCCAGGAGAGTCCCACGGTGGCTGAGAGCAAGGACTCTGGGATGAACCTGTCTGGTTCACACCTCAGCACCCTTCTGTTCCCCTCCTTTTCCCCACCCTCCACTAGCTGTGCCATCTCACTCCAGCTGTGTTATCTGGCCTCTCTGTGTCTCCCGTGTCCTTGCTTGTAAAAGGGAGATAGCGAGTTGTCACGAACTTGAAGGGGCAAACACAGCACCTAGAACAGCATCTGATACCTCCTAAACACTCCACGAGTGCCAGCTAGTCATATGTCATGGAGGGGAGGTACTTGGCCCACAGGGGGGCTGGTTCATGTGGGCTTGCTCTGTCCTCCAGTTCCCCCGACTCAGTTTTCCCCACCTCCTGTGTTCTCTCTGCCGTCAACCCTTCCTCTCACATCATGAATTTCCCCCCCATTCCAGACACTCAAGATTCCCTCTGCTCTCCAACCAATAAAATCTGATTGGCTTCTTCACACTTATGGAAGTGACTGATGGCCATTTCCTTTACACCAGAGGGGCTTACACACCTTCAGCCAAAGGTGTGGGTGCTAATGGAGGGCAGACCAGGCTGAGAGCAGGGAGGGTTTGGGGAAGTAGCTCTCCCAGAACACTTCCGTGATAACTTTTCTGGCAGGCCTGGTACCACCAGGGTAAAAGGGCACTGGGTTCAAGACCCAGCTCTGCTCCGGATTGCTGTATGACCTTCAGCAGTGCACTTGACCTATCTGGACCTCAACTTCTTCATCTGCCTAATGGACTAATTATCTCTGTCCTGCCCTACTCCCGGGTCTGCTCAGAATTAAATCATCTGAAAATGATCTGCATTTGTCTCTCTGAATTGTGGTTAGCGTCCATATGTCTGTGTGCCCTCCCCAGCCTGTACGGGGAGCCGGTCAGTCTTTCCTGGGACTATGTGCAGAGCCAGTCATACGGTAGGTGCTCAGTGAACATGAGCAGAATCCTGATCTTGGGACATAATCGATTGTCCCACGGTGCCCTAAGGAGACTGGGAATAGCCCACTTGACAGATGAGGAAACAGGCCAGGGGGAGGTCAGGGCATTTGTTGAGGTTACATAGCTAGGAATGGGGACACCGGAAGTCACCCCCAAGCAACTAACTGCAAAACCCCTGCCCCTCTCACTCTGAGCTGTCATGCAGCTTCCAGGCAGCTGAATTGGTCCTAGGAGGCAGGAGGTTCCAACCTCACAAGGATGCGGTGCCTGCAGAAGGGGACAAAACTATGAGGGCAGCTTGTGGGCTTTGGGCACAGACTGCATCAATGCCACCTTTAGGTCTCATGCCCACTCTACACGGGAGTAAAGGCATTTGGCCCACATAACGCAGCCAGTAAGTTGGAGGGTGGGACTTGAACCTGGGAAGTCTGACACGGATGATTGTGCTCATGACCACTATCTTGCAGTTCCCTCACACACCCACACCCACTGGGAGGTCAGGGAGCACAAGTGGTCGGCGGGAGAGAGCAGCTTTGCTGCCAGGATATCACTGGTGGGTGGACGTCCCTCCCAGCAGGTGGAGCTGTCCACGGATGAATGTGTCCCCTGCAGGAGGTGGGGCGCTCCCTGTCCCAGGGCCAGGGCAGAAAGCTGGGGAGGTTGTGCTGAAACTAGCGGCCTTCGAGGCCCACGCCTGACTCCCACCTGGAGGAGCCACCTGGCCTTTTTACTGCCTCTCTAGCCCCTCCACCCCTTCCCTCTTCCCCTCCTTCCCTCCCTCCCACCCACCTCCCTCTCCTCTCTGCCGCATGCTTGTGTGATTTGGGGAGTTCCTTCCCTCCTCTATGAGCCCCAGCGGCTCACCTGTAAAGGACGGCGACTCTTGCATGCGTATCTTAGGGTTACTGGGAGGATTCGAAGCGATAGATGTACGGATTGTATTGACCCCGGGTCAGTGGGTCGAGGGCTCAGGAAGACCCAGTGCTGCTGTCGCTGCGACCTTCCCTCCTCATCCTGGAGAGCTTGGGGAGCTCCCAGCAGGAGTCAGGACCCGGGTTCTCAGTCGCCCCCTCCTGAACGGCACCTCCACCCTCCCCTCTTGTCTAGTTTCCACAGAGGTACGGGGGTGGGGGCTCGGGCCGGGGTCCTCCCACGCACCTGCGCTCCGCAGGTGAGCCCGACTTCGCTGCCAGCCTCGGTTTCGCATCCACGAAAGGGGCGAGCGCCCCCGCGCCTCGGGGACCGTCCCGGGGACCGTCTCGGGGACCGTCTCGGGGACCGCCCCGGTCGGGTCCGCCGCGCGCGGGGAGGTCCGCCGCGCG